AGATGTATAGGCACAGCTCAGAGATATTGTGGGTCCCAGACCACTGCAATAAAGCGAGCATCGCAATAAAGCGAGTCACTCAAATTTTCTGGTTTCCCAATGCCTATAAAAGTTATTCTGTGTTATTAAGTGTGCGATAGCATTATTTCTAAAAACCCAATGCATATACCTTAATTAAAATATAATGCATATACCTTCATTGTGTGGTTCAGTGGATTGAGTGTCATCGCATGGACTGGGAAGTCCCAGTTTGAGTCCTGGTCAGGGCACATGCCCAGGTTGCGGGCTCGATCACCAGTAGGGAGCATGCAGGAGACAGCCAATTGATGTTTCTCGCTCACATCAATTTTTCTCTCTTTCCTTTTCTCTCTCTAAACAATCAATAAAAACATTTAAAAATAAACTGCTTCATTGCTAAAATATAACCATCATCTGTCTCAGCCTTCAGAGTCGTAATCTTTTTGGTGGAGGTCTTGCCTCCATGTTGATAAAAATGCAGTATCTACAAAGCACAATAAGGTGAAACACAAGAAAACGAGGTCTGCCTGTACGTTTGGCAAATTTCATAAACTGTAACTGTGAGGAAGATCAGGTAGGACTGAGAGAGCTGAGCCTCTCTGGCATCCACAGTTCACTGCTAGCGTCTCAGCCCTCACCAGACCCTGAGACAGTGCATGGGTTCAGGAAATGTGTCCACAACTGTATCACAGGATGTGGCCAAGTCAGCAGCAGCCCCAGGGACAAGGTGTAAGTCTACGAGTAGAACTGCTTTGGGGACATCTCCAGCCAGACCCTTGGGACACTTTTCACTAACCCCTTCCTGCGGTCAATTAAAATCCTTCTTTGAAAGTTCCGTAATTCTAACTTTCAAGAAGTTCTGCCTTAAGCTCAAACCAAATGCGTCCTATTCGAGTTCCGTTACCTTTATAACCCGTGTCTGTAATTCAGAAGAGACTGGCTCCTTCCCCAGTGAGGTGTCAACAGTTGAAGACAATGGTTACGTCTCCTCCTGCTCTTTCTCCTACCCCAGCATAAGACATATCTGGAGCAACTGTGCTTTCTCAGCATGTAGTACGTGCACACAGCACAATATCCCAACTACCCAAGTACATATGGTAATCTAGTTCTTCTCTTCAGAGGTGATCCATCCCTGCTCTACTTTATTATGTGACATGGAACTGGAACTCCAAAACCTCTTCTGCAGCCCTGGCTGGTTTGGCTCAGTGCTTAGAGCGTCCGCCTGCGGTCCAGAGAGACCCGGGTTCAGTTCCCGCTAAGGGCACGTACCTCGGTTGCAGTTTGTCCCTGGCCCTGGTTGGGTCGTGCGAGTGGCAGCCACTCAATGTGTCCCTTTCACATCAATGCTTCTCTATTTCTCTCTCTCTTTCTCCCACTATATCTGAACAAAGAAAAAAAAAAAAGTAAAAATGTCCTCTGGTGAGGATAAAAAAAAAACAAAAAAACTTTTCTGCACCTTAAGTGGACTATAGTTTCAGTGGCAAATGTACTCTGGGAGCAGGTTCTGAACAATAAACTGGAATGAAATGTCAGCATCTCCTAACCTGAACAACTATCCTCCTTTGGGAAGATTTCAGAATCTGTGACTGAGGGTCTTTAAAAAAGTTACATGTGTCTCTCTCCCCTCTATCAGGGGTCAGTAAACTGCAGGCAAATCCAGTGGACCCCATTTATGTGATGAAAGTTTTGTTGGAACATAGTCATGATCATTTGATTTCGTTTTATCTGGGGCCGCTTCAAATGGCTGAGCTGAGTAGATGTGAGAGAGACCGTATGGCCCACAGAGTAGACAGAACCTAATATCTGACCCTTCATAGCCCAAGTCTGTCACCTTCTGCCTGGACACTTCCTGAGACTCACTACACAATGAGCCACCATGACTAAACAAAGTGTTCTTTTCCTCGGTGCTGTACCAGCAAGGTTTGCTTGTCCTTACTTTGGTTGTCATTAGTGAAGATTTGGAAAGTAGTGGCTTAAACAAGATGCTTCTCTCTCAGACCAAGTCCAAGGCTGAACTGACCATCCAGCATCAGAGACCCAGGCTGTACTCCACATGGCTACCACTGCCAAGGTCACCCCGTGGTCCAGAACGGTCACCAGAGTACCAGTCACGCATTCACATCCAGGTGGCAAGAAGGAAGGACAGCCTCAGCCCGACTGAAGGAAAACTCTGGAAATGCCCCTAAACATTTCTGAGACACCACTGGCTGAACTCGCCCACAGACACACCTAGTGTAGACTTTCCGTGGGCTGGCAAACTGCTTAGATTTAAAAAATAAAATCAAGAGTATGTCATTTTAAAAACTTGGGGTTGGATATCGAGAGATAATTAGCAATCTCTGCCAAAGGAACCTTCCTCTAGTCGCCAAGCCCCTTGTTAAGATACGTAGGCTCTCTGGGCAGGTTAGTCATTGGGCATAGCTCCAAAATGATAGGATTTGAATGTTTGCTTAACATTTACCTAACAGATGGTAAGATCAGTGACATCTCTTGGCTGGTCATTTCTTTTCAAGTTGCCAATGACAAGTATTGTCTCCTCCAGAAGGAAGTGGACAAATTCTCCTTCCACCAGTCAGTACGGGGTTGTGTGTGCAGACCTGAGTTAACAGTTCAGTCATTTTGGTTTTCACTGTCTGTCTGTCTGCCTGGTCAGCCCCTCCATCCACAGGACCCTGGCACTCCCCCATGCTCCCTGCATTCTCTCCAATTAATACCCCATTCACTACATTCACAGGGCAATAACATCTCACAGTAACCTTTAGGATCTGAACATCTTCAACTAAGAAAGGCTACTCATCTCACTTTTAACTGGTGATACACAAGAAGCAGAGGTGGATCTAAGCCAGTAACAGGAAGCAAGAGCTTGAGAAATAAAAAATTAAGAACAGACTCTGAATCCTTGCTTCCAGAAGGTGACCTGCGCATTAAACAAGAATGGAAGGTATAAGACATGTGCTTTTGGTACATCGGTGAATACTTACAATAAGCCTCACTCCCACACTTCCCTCCTCTTCAAAGGAAATATCCAGACTTGCAGTATCAACATGCAAACTCTTGGAAACTTCCTTCTCATGTAAAAGTCCTGGGCTGAATGGGTACTCTATCTTGTCACGGACCCAGGCTACCCTGTCCATTCATTCTAGTTTCTGTAAAGTAAGGAGACAGATAACACCTGCAAGCTCCAAAATATATTTAAAGGCTGCCAAAAATAGCCAAAATCAAGTAGAAGCTAAATGGGAGGAAGTAAAGAGAAAGAACACACAAGAGTGCCGTATGTCTGAACACATATTCCCAAACACCAGCAAAAATATGTTGCTCAGTGCTGAGGGTTATAATCCAAAGTGCAAAGTCTGTCTCACCAATAAGTACTGAAAGCGGAGTTAGCAAAGGTGAATCTTCTGTTTGTAACAAGGGTAGATTTGGGGTGGGAGGTAGAGCTACACAAAGACACAGAGACATATTTAAAGAGTCGTTTTCTTAGCAGTGGAGAAAAAGAAAGCCTTACAGTTGTGAAAACAACTGGCCCGAATGACTACTAGCCCCTCCTGCCAAGTCTACCATCAAACCTTATCCCTCAACCTTGTGGCTGGTTCAGAACATCCAATACATTCAAATATGAGTACAAAAAGGCAATCCTAGGCATGCACCAACACAGCAATTAAAAATAGCTAAAATAATAAGGAAATGACAGAGAAGTCATAGAAAAAAACTGCCAATGAATCGTATGAAGTTTCTAGCTAAATATTTTACAGTAAATTTTAAAAAACAAATGAAGCAATTTCTTTATGAAGGAAAAACCACAAAGCAGAAACAACTCAGAGAAAAGATAGCAAGGAAACAGGCATTGAAATGTGAGCGTGCAGAACTCAGAAAAGGGGGAAAAACAGATAACTGAAGATGGAAATAGAATGTGTGCCAGGAAACACAGTAAGGAGCAGAGAAGATACAATCAGGAAAGTATTCAAAACAGACTAAAAAACACTGACAACATAAGAGTTTTAAAACAGAGAAAAAAACGATAGGTAGAGAAGTCAGACAAAGGCAAGCGTCCTCACACATAACTGGAATCCCTCAAGAACAGAACAATGGAGCAATACAAATCCTCAGAGATATAATTAGAGAAAAACGGTTCTAAAACCAAAGCAGAGTTAAACCTGATTAGTGAGAGACAAATATGTATATGTATGTGTGGGTGTGTGTGTGTGTGTGTGTATGTGTGTGTATATCTATCTATCTAAATTATTCATCCATCCATCCATCCATCCATCCATATGTATATATATATAAGGGAGAACAGGTCAACACTGAAATGGATCCTGATAAAGTTATTAAATTTTATCCTAGAACCTAAAACAGATTTTGGCTTGTGGTATATGCTTAATAAATAGTCACCGAGAGACCAACGAAACAGGCTTTTCTCCATAAATCCCTTTTCTGGCCTCATCCTCTGTTCCTAAGATGTGATATGCCACAGCAGCGGTTCTCAACCTGTGGGTCGCGACCCCTTTGGGGGCAAATGACCCTTTCACAGGGGTCACCTAAGACCATTGGAAAACACATATTTCTGATGGCGATTCATAACAGTAGCAACATTACAGTTATGAAGTAGCAACAAGAATAATTTTATGGTTGGGGGTCACCACAACATGAGGAACTGTATTAAGGGTCGCGGCATTAGGAAGGTTGAGAACCACTGTGCTACAGAATCATTTCCAAAAGCCATACTGAAAACCTCCAAGATCTTTAAAACATTCTGTTCCATATACTTTCTTTACTAAAGCAGGAAAGATTAAAATGCATTTTAGAAAGATCTTCAGAAAGAACTGACATGAAAGCCTTTCCTGATAAGCTACATGTTTACTGTAAATTCAGAAGATACTTTGTCTCATATGCACTGGGTTTCAGCAAACCTGTATAATATGTTTCCATATGCCACAGCCACAGACAGAACAAAGGATAAAATCTGAAAGTTTTTTACTTACTTTGGATGTTCGAACTTGTCTATAAGATCAACTTTTTCCACCAGGTCTCCTCCAATTGTTCGGACTAAGTCATAGAAATCATTTTCTGTGTAATTCTCAGAGGGCAACCAGAATGAAATGTCATTTATCACAGCAGGATACTTGCTTAGAGGCTGACAAAATAAGAAAAGAAAAGATTGATTGATTTGTTAGTTGGATGAGAATGTTTAAATTTTTCATGGAAAGTTACACTTGGCTAATTAGAAAATGCTCATAAAACATTATTTCAGCACTTGAATTTTCAGGAACAAAATGAACTTAAAAGATAAGTCAATATTCAAAATTAGCAAATTCCATTATGAATTTTATAGATTTGTATCACATTCATGTGTAACATTACCATTTACAATATTTATATCACTATCAATGTTCAATTTAGTACGAAGCAATTTTAATTTATCATATTTCAGTTTTTTTTTCATTTGAATACTAGAGGAGAAAAGTTCAAATTTAATTAACAAGTGATTCATTAACCTCCTGGATACTTTCAGGAAGCCATTTTAATGGAGAAAGAAGTAAGGGCTTGTTAAAATCGTTATTTCAATTAGTAATGTCATTATTTGTTAGTATTTCTAATTATTAAAATAAAAAAATGAACTAGTAAGTAGTCATTTACGAAGTTAGTTTTCAAATTATACTTCTAAGGATGTGATAAACACAATGTAGTCATTTTCCCCCTTTTTTCCCAGTTTATTAGAGTTCACTAGTTCATCATTATATTGAAGAGACATTTAAAATTAAATACTTTTAGATGGAAAGATGGCAGTGGGCACGACCGGAGCGAAGGTGAGTGTGAGTGAGTGTGAGCGAGTGTGAAAGAGAATGGGTGGACGTGAATGTGGACGAGCAACCTCGAGCAGTGCAGAAACGTAGGGCAGAGGGTTCCTTTACTGTGGATGGGAGCAGCCAGTTACCATGGTAAGGGGCTCATCAGGGCGTTACTCCCTGTGCAGCCGGGAGGTCCTGCCATTTTGGAATATCTGTGGTCTTTGCTGGGAGGAGGCACCGGGAGAAGTTAAGGCTGAGTGACCTGAGTCTACCAGTGTGCCTTGCACCATCGGACCAGTGGACCCCGCTGTGTCAACATGGACCAGCACACAGTAGTGGCACTGTCAAGGTGTCTGCAGCGAAGCCGCAACTGGCCATTAGCCAAGCACCATTCCCCATAGCAGCTGAGGCTTGGGAGCTGAGCACTTTCAGCCCCCAACAGCAACAGAGGATGGGGTGCTGAGAGAACCCCTTAGCAACAGCAGCAGCAGTAGCAGCACAAACCCGGAGCTGACATTTGCCCCCAGCAGCACCAACAGCAGCTGATCAGGAGCTGAGCCTCATCAGGCAGCCGCGCACCCCAGCAGAGCCCCAGCGGTGGAGGCCCGCATGCCCCAGCAGTGCCTAACGTGACAGAATGATACCAGCCACCAGCTGTCAATCCTTCAGGACCCACAGCAAGCAACAGGCGCCACACACCAAAACAGTCTGGGAGGCACAGCAGCCTTATTTGATACACACCAACCTGCCCGCACATCCCAATGTCCCACCCCAGGCCTAGAACTACCATACTACTAAAATGGGAAGACAAAGAAACACCCAAAAGAAAGAAAAGGAGGAATCACTAGAAAAGAAACTGCATGAAGTGGAATAAAGCAAATTTGTCAGATAAAGAATTCAAAGCAATGATTTTAAGGGCTCTCAAACAATTTACTGAGAACTACAAGCAACTTAATGAGAATTATAAAGAGTTCAGTGGGAACTACAACAGCTTAAAAAAAGAGGTAGAAGCTATGAATAAAAATCAAGAAGAAATAAAGAATAACATAGGTTTTATGAAAAATATCTTAGAAGGATGCAATAGTAGATTAGAAAAAGCTGAAGACCAAATCAGTGAATTAGAAGACAAGGTAGAAAAAGAAGCCCAAATAAAGCAGCAAATGGAAAAAAACATTTAAAAGCAGAAGGAGAGTTTAAGAGAGCTTTGGGACAAAACGTAACAACATTTGCATCATAGGGGTACCAGAAGGAAAAGAATCAGAGAAAGGGACAGAGAACCTGTTTGAAGAAATAAAGACAGAAAACTTCCCCAATTTGGTGAAGAAAAAAGTCACACAAGTCCAGGAAACATAGAGGGTCCCAAGCAAGATGAACCACAAAAGACCCATAATTAGACACATCATAATTAAAATGACAAACATTAAAGACAAAGAAAGAATCTTAAAAGAAGCAAGAGAGAGACAGAAAGTTACCTACCTACAAGGGAGACCCCAATAGACTGTCAGCTGATTTCTCAATAGCAACACTGAAGGCCAGAAGGGAGTGGCATGAAGTATCAAAGTAATGAAAGGCAAGAGTCTCAATCTAAGGCTACTCTATCCAGCAAGGTATCATTCAAAATTAAAACTGAAATAAAGTTTCACAGACACACACACACACAAAAATTAAGAAATTTACCACCACCAAACCAGCACTGCAAGAAATGCAATACAATCATACTGGGTGACTTTAATACCCCACTGACACCACTGGATCCATCATTTAGACAAAAACTTAACAAGAACACAGAGTCCTTGAATGATGAACTAGATCATTTGGACTTAATTCATATTTATAGAACATTTCACCCCAAACCAAAGCCACAGACTATACATTCTTCTCAAATGCACATAGGACATTCTCAAAGATAGACTACATGTTAGGACACAAAGTAAGTCTCTACAAATTCAAGAAAATTGAAATCATACCAAGCATCTTCTCAGATCACAACAGTATGAAACTACAAATCAATTAGAGCAAAAATATTTAAACACATAGAGGCTAAATAGCATGTTATTAAACAATGAATGGGTTACCAAGGAGATTAAGGAAGAAATTAAAAACTTCCTGGAAACCAATAAAAATTAACACACAACGCAAAATCTATGGGGCACAGCAAAAGCAGTCCTAAGAGGGAAGTTCATAGTACTACCGGCCTACCTCAAGAAACAAGAAAAATTCCTAATTGACTTTATGATCCTACAACTTAAAGAACTATGGTGTAAACAAAAACAAAAACCCAGAGCAAGTAGAAGGAAGGAAATAGTAAAGGTCAGAACAGAAATAAATGACTTAGAAACTAAAAAACAATTCAAAAGATCAATGAAACAAAAACCTGGTTCTTTGAAAAAATAAACAAGATTGATGGAACCTTAGCCAGAATCACCAAGAAACAACAAGATAGGAACCAAATAAACAAAATCAGAAACAAAAGAGGAGTAACAACCAACACCACAGAAATACAAAGGATAGTTAAAACATACTACGAGCCCTGGCTGGTTTGGCTCAGCAGTTAGAGAGTTGGCCTGCAGTCAAGAGAGACCCAGGGTTCAGTTCCCGCTAAGGGTATGTACCTCGGTTGCAGTTTGTCCCTGGCCCTGGCTGGGTCGTGTGGGTGGCAGCCACTCAATCTGTCTCTTTTACATCGATGTCTCTGTCTCTGTCTCTGTCTCTGTCTCTCTCTCTCTTGCTCTCTCTCCCTGTCACTCTATCTGAACAAAAACTGGAAAAAAATGTCCTCGAGTGAGGATTAAAAAAAAACAACAAAAAACATACTACGAACAATTATGCACCAACAAACTGGACAATCTAGGCAAAATAAACAAATTTATAGAAACACACAGTCTCCCAAAACTGAACCAGGAAGAGATACAAAACTTAAACAGACCAATAACAACTAAGGAAATTGAAGATGTAATCAAGAAACTCCCAGCAAACAAAAGCCCATGCCTGGACGCTTCATGGGGGAGTTTTACCAAACAGTCAAAGAAGATCTAATACCCATTCTCCTCAAACTATTCCAACAAATCCAAGAAGATGGAAGACTTCCACACTCATTTTATGAGGCCAACATAATTCTAATTCCAAAACTGGATAAAGACACTGCAAAGAAAGAAAACTACAGGCCAATATTCCTGATGAACACAGATGCCAAAATCCTTAACAAAATACTAGCAAATCAGATCCAGCAATAGATCAAAAATATCATTCACCATGACCAAGTGGGATTCATCACAGGATGCAAGGATGGTACAATATTCGCAAATCAATAAATGTGATATACCACATAAACAAAATAAAAGATAAAAATCATATGATCATATCAGTAGATGCTGAAACAGCATTTGACAAAATCCAGCACCCATTTCTGATAGAAACACTGAGCAATTTGGGAATAGAGGGACAATATCTCGACATAATAAAGGCCATATATAAAAAATCTACAGACAACATCATATTCAATGGGGAAAAACTACAAGCATTTCCCTTAAGAACAGGAACAAGACAGGGATGCCCATTCTCACCCCTCTTATTTAACATAGTACTGGCAGTCTTAGCCATAGCAATTAGACAAGAAGAAAAAATAAATGGGATCCAAATTGGAAAGGAAGTGAAACTGTAATTATTTGCAAATGACATGATACTGTACATAGAAAACACTAAAGACTCTATCAAAAATCTACTACAGTTGGCCCTGACCAGTTTGGCCAGTTGGCCCACGGTCCAGAGAGGCCCGGGTTCAGTTCCCGCTAAGGGCACGTACCTTGGTTGCAGTTTGTCCCTGGCCCCAGTTGGTGTTGTGTGGGTGGCAACCATCTATGTGTCTCTCTCACATTGATGTTTCTCTGTCTCTCTTCCTCCCTCTCTCCCTCCTGCTCTATCTGAAGATAAATACAAAAAATAAAATAAAATAAAAAGTCCTCAGGTGAGGATAAAAAATAAATAAATCTACTAGAGTTAATAAATGAATATGACAAAGTAGCAGGATACAAAATTAATGTCAAGAAATAGACAGCATTATTATACATCAATGAACACAGAGAAAAAGAAACTAAAAAAGCAACCCCATTTACCATTGTGGCAAAAAATTAAGATACCTAGGAATAAACATAACTAAACTACAGGTCATTGAAAAAAGAAATAGAGGAAGTTATAAAAAAGTGGAAGCATATACCCTGTTCATGGATTGAAAAAATTAATATCATTAAAATGTCCATATTACCCAAAGCAATCTATAGATTCAATGCAATCCCCATCAAAATACCAAAGACATATTTCACAGAACTAAGAACAAATACTCCAAAAG